TTATGAAATATGGAACAAATGTTATAATTGGCTAGAACAGAGAAAGAGAAAGCTATGATTACTGATGTAAATAAACTGTAAATAATATATAGGAGATGTATAACACAGTTCTGTTAAAGGAAAAAAAATGTATTTTTTCATTTTTTTTGTTGTATAGTGAAAAAAGAATAAAAATTTTAAAAAAACAAAACAAAACAAAAAAGGTGTCGGAACACCATTCTGGTCATTCTATGAGAAAAAAAGCCCTACCTTTCCTACTTATGAAAGTAATGGTATTCCTTCCTTTTCAGGGGTATCAAACTCATTTTCACTGAGGGTTGCATCAGCATTATGGTTGCCTTCAAAGGGCCAGATTGGTATGGCTGGGTAGGCATAGCTAGGTGGTCACGGCTGGGTTGCCGCGACTAAGTAGGCATGGCTGGGTGGGTGTGTCTAGCTCAATATGATTGGCTCGACAGTGCTCATTCAGTGCAGTTGACTCAATATGGCCAGGTGGGCATGGCTGGATAGGCATGGCTGGGTAGGTAGACCCGGCCCAGTTTTGCTGACTCAGAACAGCTGGGTCAGCATGGAACAAGTCACATCGGCTAATTTGACATGGGGACAACTCAGTGCCTTCTGAGTTGTCCCTCACAAGCTCTTTGCCTCCCCCAAATTGCCGGTAGCCAAGCATGTGTGTATGGGCACGTGCACAGATACACAGCATTCCAGGTTTGGGGACTTTTATCCACACATGAAGGAGAAATTCTTCTCCCCAAGCCCAGGCATGATTGGCAGCTTGCCAGCTCAGATGTGGATAAAAGTCTCCAGGCTTGGAATATTGTCTTTGTGTGTGCATACACATAGCATGCCAAAGATGTTGGTTGAATTGCAAAGATCTCTGGAGAGAAGGAGGGATGGCAGGGAGCTGCATGAGAAAAGGCTGCCCCAACAAGCCAGTATCCCTCTCAAAATAATTCCCTTTCGAGAAAGACCTTCCCTTCCTCATGCAGGACCAGAGAGCGCTGGTCCCCTACCTCCCCTTCCTGATCTCCAGAGATATCTGTCAAGGCAGAGTTTGACTCTGCACTTCGATGCACAGCAGCATCACCCCCTGCCTCCTGCTTTGTTGGGAGGGGGCACCAGATAGGGAAATACCAATGCTCAGATGTCTGGGATTGGAAGAAGATTGCATGCACACACCATTGGAGATTTTTATCCATGTCTGAGCTGGCAAGCTGCCAATCATGCCTGGCTTGGGGAGAAAGACATTTCCTTCCTCTGTGGATAAAAGTCCCCAAACTTGGAATGTGGAGTGTGTGTGTGTGTGTGTGTGTGTGTGTGTGTGTGTGTGCATGCACTTGGCTGCCAGCAGTTTGTGGAGACAATGAGCTTGAAGGGCACTGAGTTGTCTCCATGTTGAATTAGCTGGTGCAACTTGTTTCATGCTGAGCCAGCTGTCTAGAGTCAGTGGGGCCAGTCTTATCTAGCCACACCCATCTAGCCAATGTGAGTCATCATAGACCCATGCCCAACTGACCCTGCACTTACTGCTGCCACCCAGCTCCACATATTGGAGAGGCTCCCGCTGCCCATCCTCTGCTACTTATGCTGCCACTGACAAGAGACTTGTAAAAGCAAGGAGGTAACTACTCAATCACCTCCTCCTAATAGTCTGATTGCGGGCCAGATCTAAACACATCACAGGCCAGATTTGGCTTGTGTGCCTTGAGTTTGATATGTCTGCTCTAAATGAAAGTATCTAGTTTTTAAGAAGAAACTGGACAGCCATTTGTCCAAAATGGTATGGGGTTTCTTGCCTGAGCAGGGGGTTGGACTAAATGACCTCCAAGGTCCCTCCCAATATTATTATTATTATTATCGATCATCGCACAGTCAGCCAGATGTTCAGACTGGATTTGGCATTTTGTCTACCTATCGAGTCCTTACCCAGGACCTGGGATAGACAGATGTGGATGTTTGATGGTATTACAGATATTGTTGCAGGATGGAAGCAGTTCCTAGTAAGGCCGCCTTTTGCAATTGACTAATAGAGAATTTGTCAATGCCAATGGTGTTCAAGTGGTGCTCCAGTTGTTTTGGGATTGCACCCAAGGAGCCTATTACTATTGGTACTACCCTTGCTTGCTTTTGCCACAGTCTTTCTATTTCTATTTGTAGGTCTTTATATTTTGTTATCTTCTCCAGTTCTTTCTGGTCTATTTTGCTGCCTCCAGGCACTGCCACGTCCACTATCCAGACTTTTTTATCTTTCTTATCGACAATTGTTAAGTCTGGGGTGTTATGTTGTAGTGCTTGTCTGTTTGAATTCTGAAGTCCCAGAGCAGTTTAAGTTTATCATTTTCTATGACTTTCTCTATTTTATGATCCCACCAGTTTTTGCTTACAGGCAAATGATATTTTTTGCAGATCTTCCGATGCACCATTGTTGCTGCTTTGTCATGCCGCTGCTTGTAGTCAGTCTGTGCAATCTTCTTGCAACAGCTTACCAGGTGGTCCACTATTTCTTCAGCTTCTTTGCATAGGCGGCACTTACTGTCTGTTGCTGTCTTCTCAATTTTGACTTTATATGCATTTGTCCTTAAGGCTTGGTCTTGTGCAGCCAGAATTAGTCCCTAGGTCTCTTTCTTCAATTTTCCTGCTCTTAGCCATTGCCAAGTCTTGTTATTATCTGCTTTCCCAGCTATTTTTTTTAATGTATTGGCCATGTAGTACTTTGTCTTCCGATACCTCTATTCTGTTCTTCATTTGGTCTTTCTTGTAGGCCAGTTTGGTCTCTCCAGTAGTCAGTAAGCTTTCCTGATATACTAATTTCAGTGCATCTTCATCATTGTTCTTAAGATATTCTTCCAAAGCCATTTTTTCTTCTTCAACCATCTGATGTACTTGTAGCATTCCACGCCCACCTATTTGCCTTAGTAGATAAAGGCTGTCAATGTCACTATGTGGATGAAGGGCATGATTCATTGTCATTATTTTTCTGGTCTTCCTATCCATTGCTTTTAGTTCTTCTTGAGTCCAGTCCACTATTCCAGCTGTGGACCTAATGACTGGAATTGCCCAGGTGTTGATTGCCTTTATGGTATTTCCTCCATTGAGTTTGAACTTTAAGATCTTCTTCACCTCTTGATGTATTCACCTCTAATCTTTTTCTTGACTTCAGTGTGCTTGATGTTGTCAGCTTGAAGGATACCCAAGTATTTGTAGTAATCTTCCTCATCCAGACTCTTAATGTTATTTTCATGGGGCATCTTGATTCCTTCAGTTTTCACTACTTTTCCTTGTTTGATAGTAAGTGTGGCACATTTGTCCAAGCCAAACTCCATAACAATGTCTTGGCTATATATACGGACAATGTTGAGCAGCGATTCTATTTCAGATGATGTTTTTCCATACAGCTTCAGATCATCCATGTAAAGGAGATGGGATAGTCTGGTAGATGTTTTTGATGTTTGATAGCCGTGTCCTGAGTTATTCAGTATTGTTGACAGAGGAAACAGTGCAATAACAAATAGTAATGGTGATTATTATTATTATTATTATTATTATTATTATTATTATTATTATTATTAATCCCAGTCCATCTCAATTTGTTGATGCCTAACACATCCGTTTATAATTGTTTTATTTTAGTTTTCATTGTGTTGCATCTTCCATATTCCTGCTTCTTATATTAAATCTATCTGTCTTTATAAATCTATCCTTTCAATTTGAGATTTTCTTTTCCTGTATGGCAATCCCAGGAACTAAACATCCCAAAGCTTTAATCTAATCACTGGGATCACAATTAGTATTCAAAAGATCCTCAACTGTTCTTCAATAGTATGTTGAGTGTCATATGACCTGAGAGTCCATCAACTGGCATTACATTGGTGTTATAGTTTCTATGAGCAGGGGACAAGTAGGCAGTGCAACTGTGAATTCAAAAGTAAAATGCCTTCTATCTTTACTAAAGAAGAAAGGAGGTTTCAGTACTATATTTGCTTGTAGGTTTCTCTGTTGCTGATCTTTAATTAAAGTTCTTTAGGCTTAGGCCTCTAAGAACAAAAAAGCCAAAAGATTAATTGCCCCCCTCTAAAAACAGTAAATTCAATAACTGAATGTAAATATTGTTTAACTAAATTGAAATTTTATATTTAATAAATATGCCCAACATAATAATTACACAAGACCCAGTTTGATGCTGTGATTTTTTAAAGTATTACTTTAAAATATTATTAAATTATAAAGTATTAGAAACAGGGAGTGTGAATTCTAGCCCTGCTGTGGATGAATCCAACTGGATGATTCTGGGCTGGTGGTTATTTTTCTAGACCTAGGATAAAAGCAATGACATACCACATCTGAAAATCTTACCTAGGAAACTGCCTGGAGTCAAGGATGATTTGAAGGCACCAAATTTTTTTTTTTTTTTTTAAAAATTGGATCAGTAAACTACATTTACTCATATTGCATATTGCATTAAATTCTTAAGATAAAAAAGAGAAATAAAAAGTGAATGGTTGGCTATTAATCATCTGGATTTATCTCTACTATAAGACTAGTCTTAAAGAGAGAATAAAACAAATGCCAAACAGGGGATACCTGTTTTATTCCAACTCCTCTTGAAGCTTTCTCACATTTTGACCTGGTTAATTATTATGTAGTCCTTTTTCCAAATCTTGATCATTCCCAGCTGTGCTAGACTGCTGTTCTCATTATCTCCAAACTGCATGTCTACCGGTTTGAGGAGAATGTTCAGTAATTTGAGAGCACCAAGGTGTACTCCCACCCCCTCAGACATCCCCAGCAACATAAGTTACTGCTTGGGAGGCAGGCCCAATAGTTCTCTGACTCAGAACCATTGTGACATATTTTGAAATAAAGCAGCTTTGTTCTCATTCAGAAGGAAGACAAGTTTAACAGTTTGGCCGAGCTGCTAAGGACACTAAAGCAATTTGTTATCTATTGGAAAAGATTAACTGAAACAAAATTTCAGCTTGTGAAAAAAGGCACTCATATACAGTAACAGGAGAGAAGCTGTATTCTTTCAGAGCGCTACTTTATTCTTTCAGTTATATTGTCTATTTATTAATATAGATGTTCTATATACACCAACAACAAAACCTTCTCTTTGCCTGTAATTACTTTCACAGATAAACAGCCAGGATAGCCTAATCTGCTAAATTGGAGCAGCAAATAATACTGACCATTAATCAAATTATTTTGGAACATAAGCCAGAAAAGAACTCATGTTTTTATTGTTTCAAATGATAAAATACAACAAAATAAAAAAACTAGCCACAAGTCTTCATCATTCTTAAAATCAACTGTCTGAGATAGTCACCTCATTTTCTAACAGTATATCTGATTTTATTATACATGCATGGGTACATGTGCATTTGCACATATACACTTTAGTCTAGGCTCCCATTCTACTCATTTAATCTGTCACGTACTATTTACCTTAAGATGGTCCCTTACTTAGAATAGTTACACTCAGCTCTTACGGGAACCTGAAAATCTGTCTTAATGTGTGAAAAAGTCACACCTGTCTATATCCTATCAGGGCAATAATTCCTTTTTCATATTTATTTATGAAGAAGATTTGGTACCGTCCCCAAGAGGTTTTCTCAACTCCCTACTTTAGCTGCTTTTTCTCAATTTCTCTTCTTTAAAATATTCTCTCTCTGTGTGTTCATTGCACTCTAGTCTTTTAAATATAAGGTTCAGCAAGGTCTAAAGATAGGAATATTCATTAAATGAAAACATGAAAATGTCCATCACCGTGCATATTATGGAAAGAAACAAACTTCATAGGAAAAAGGAATTTATCACTTCTCCATTTAGAATCCCAATATTGCAGGGATATGCAGACTTAAACTTCAGACAAATAGATGGAATCAACTCAGTTAATACTTTAGCTGTGAGAATATCTCTTTGGTCTGGAACTGAATCAAAATCTTTTTGTAGTCCTTTACATGTCCCGGCATATTTTACACAATCATTATCATTTCATAAAGCTTTTTAGAGAGACTTTCAGCTAGAAGTTGCACTGTTCAACCATCTTTTCTGAGGTTTCAGTCACTTTTCAGCTGTTCTTTAGTCTGTGAAACTTGATCAAGGAACAAAGATCACTGAAGCAGAAGGAAACCAAAGGGATGTTTTCTAAATGTTTCTGTATATTTCAATCTAAGGTTAAAAGAAAAATTCAAAAAAGGTAAAAAAATTAAAAAAAGTAAATTCCAAATATTTGCAAATTCAAAAAGTACAGAAATCCCATGGTGACAATCTAATATTAAAATAAGTCCAATGGGAACTCTTCATTCTCCAAAGGAGGTGAAGGCTGTGATTCCTTATGGAGAGAGTTAATCAAAATAACATATATCAAAGGGGAAAGAAAAAAGAAAAAACAGAGTCCAGTTAAGGAATTGAAATAAATCATTATTTAACCACTGATCAACTTTTAAAGCAAAAAACAAAATAAGACAATAAATTCAAAAAGTAAAAGTTAAGATCCCAGGCATACTTAAGAAAACAAAACTGCTGACAGGAAGATGTATATACCCAGTGACTCTTTGATGGCTTCCAGAAGGAACTGAAATCTTCAAGGCTCCCCATCCCAACTGTGTCCAGTGTCGTCCAAAAGTTGTCTTGAGTCATTCCTAAGCACTCCCAATCAAATCCACGGAGCAGTTCTGCCAGAGAACCAGTCTGGCAGTAAAATCAGCAGATCATCAATAAGAGAAAAGAAAAGCTTTTACTGTGCAGCAACCATCCTGTGGAAGGCTTTTTTTTGTCTTTTTTTCTTAGTTCATATTAGTTTTTAATTTTTGTCTTTTTGAACTTTAATAAAAATTATTGAATTAAAAAAATTCTGTGAAAGTTAATATGCCTCCAACAAATTCATTTCCCAGAAGCATAAAAATCTGCTATCTGCCCACCTGGTAAGAAATATTTTAAACCAGAAGTCTTCCAGATATTTTGGACTATAGTCCTTATGATCTCCAAATAATAAGACAATAATAATTATTCTTAATGTTGCCTATACCCTATTAAAAAATGGGAGGTAGCAACAGTAGATTTAGAGGGCAAAAAAAGAGTTCATACAATTTCTTGAAATAAGGAAAGTACGAATGGAGCAACTGTTTGCTTTTTAAATAGCAAATATAATCAGCGTTTCTTAGTGGAAAAGGCAATAATAGTCTCAGAAAACACTACTGACCTGATAGTATCTTTATTTGCTGTATTACTTCCCCTGTTCTGTCCCAGCCTACATGAGTCCTTGTTAAGCTCACAAGGAGAAACCCCTCTTCCAACAAGCAGGCTGGAACCGCAAGAAAAAACCAATCCCCTTTTATTATTCACAGACCTGGGTCAATGTCCAAGGCAAACAAACACAGCTCACAGAAACTTGATCCAGCACTTCCCACACCTTCACTTTTATTATGCAGCCAAGGCGTGGCTTCCTAATGCCTTCTCTTTTGCCTTTGCAGCCGCCCCATTGCATTCTTCTGTCCTACTCTTTTTTCTTGCCAGTGTTCACATGCATCTTGGATATCTCTCAGCTGTGATTCATCACTGTTCAACTCAGACTCCCAGCACAGCTGTATCTCAGCCTGAGTGCGAATAGAGTGGCCAGGCTCCTCGTCAGACTGTAAATCTTGGAGCTCCTCAGAGTTTTCTTCTGACTCTGATGTCACTCCAGCCCCCCCTCCTCCTCTGATTTCTCAGACTCAGCTGCTGGTCCACTGGCTGGTGAGGAATCATGACACTGTCCCACACTGCAGGATCCTTTGCCCAGGTCTGCCGGGCCAGATACGGTCAAGACAGGAACTGTTTGTGGAACACTGTCACCAAGGCAGAAGCATGAGAGTAGTTGCATCCTCCCAGGTGAACTCTTCCGGTCCATAGCCCTTCCACTCAATCAGATACTGAAATCGCCCTTTCACCAACGGGAGTCTCGAATGCTGGTGACCTCATATTCTGGAGAGCTGTCTCCATCATGTTTTTCTAGTGGGGGATATTCTGATTGAGAGAGTGGACACACCGTTGTTCGGGGACCAACAGAAACCAGTGAAAGACCGGATATACCTGTAGTAACCATGGCAAAGTTAATTGATAAGTGACCGGATTGATGATGGCTTCAATAGGGAACAGTCCTAGGTACCAGTGGTCTAGTTTCTTGGCAGGCTGGTTTGATGGCAGGTTTCTAGTGGACAGCCACACCCGATTTCTCACTGTTAATGTAGGCATATCTCGCCTCGACTGATCAGCCCCTTCTTGTAATCTGCCTTAGCCTTATCTAATTATCATCGCACCAATCGATGGATAGCCCATAACTCAGTCAGATATTCGTTAGCTGTAAGAACTGGTGAGTTGAGCTGCGAGAGGGGAGAAAGCCGGGGATGATACCTACATTGGCCAGGAACGGTGTCATCTACATGGAGGTGTGCTGTGAGTTATTAAATGCGAACTCAGCTACCACCAGATAGTCTGCCCAATCGTTCTGCTGCTGGTTCACATAATAGTGCAGATATTGCTCAAGAATTCCAATGACTTTCTTGGACCCACCATCAGTTTGAGGATGATGTGCTGATGATTGGTAGATTTTTACATCCAGGGCCTTCATCAGTCCCTTCCAGAAATGGGCCATAAATTGAGCCCTTCTGTCTGACACAACCCTATCAGGGAAGCCGTGCAGCCAGAAAACCTGATGGATGAACATGTGACTGGTGTGCGGGCTGATGGCAAGCCACGGCAAGGAATGAAATGTGCCATCTTGGTCAGCATGTCCACCACCACAAATACCTTCATGAAACCAGAAGACAGGGGCAACTCCATCAAGAAGTCCATGGATCTTTGATCAGGATCTTTTGGGCATCAGAAAGGGCTGAAGTAGACCAGGGGGGCCCGACACTGACTGGGCTTACCTACACTGGATACGTGACATAGGCCTGGACGTCATGTCGTACTCAGGGCCATCAGAATGTACAGGAGACCATGTTCAGTGTCTTGTACAGGCCAAATGCCCTGCTGGCAAATTATCATGATATTGGCGGAGAATGAGTCATCTGAGTGGCCCTCCTGGAAAATAGAGCCAATCACAATAGGTGACAGCCCATGGGGAGTCTGGCCCCAACTCCTCCCTGCATTGAGCCACCCATGCATCATGCTGTTGGGCCTTCTGAATCCGAGCCCATATATCTATTGGCTCCCAAACTGCAGAGAAACACTCAACGGGAACAACTGTCCTGGGCAGAAGCTTTTCTTCTATATGGGAATATTCTGGCTTCCTCGACAGAGCATCCGCTCTTTGGTTGTGACCGCTGAGTATGTAGGTAACGCAGAAATTGAACCTAGCGAAGAAGAGAGACTGCCGAATCTGTCATTGGTTCATCCTGGATATCTCTCAGCTGTGATTCATCACTGTTCAACTCAGACTCCTAACACAGCTGTGTCTCAGCCTGAGTGCGAGTAAAGGGTCCAGGGTCCTCGTCAGACTGTAAGTCTTGGAGCTCCTCAGAGCCTTCCTTTGACTCTGATGTCACTCCCTCCTCCTCTGATTCCTCAGACTCAGCTGCCAGGTCCATTGGTCGGTGAGGAATCACAACACACACACCCATGGCTCTTATTGGTCCCAACTTGTTCCTCACAAATAATTGCAAACTAAAATATTATTTCTCTTATCTTTCCTTCCTACTTTTATAGCTAGCTGCTTATTCCTTTTACAGAAGGACTGAATTCTTTCAGAGAATTTCACTGAATTCTGTTGCATCACCATTTTAAATGAATGGTATTTATTTTTGAGTCTCCTCAAGTCATTTTATGCTGTCTTTTGTTAAGTACGGGTGTTCTTGAGAAAGATGAATGAAAAATGCCTGGAGCGTACTCCTAGACTAAAGTATGCACTTCAAGTAGGGGCTAGCCAAGGTGTGAAAATAATCCCTGCTGCCCACGTAAAGCAAGTAACACTTTACCAAGCTGCAGTCATGTTAGGAAGATATTGGTAACAACAGCAAAGGCAAAAGTTCATATTGGGCAGGATAAGGTAATGGTAAACAATTCTTGTATTTTCTTAAGAAAAACACTGAACGACCAGGTTGAGGACAGGTTTTCCTGAAGTAGGTCTGTCTCTATGGTCCCTAATTCTAACTTGAGGGTAATCAATCTGTCTTCTTATGACCTGACCTCATTCAGTAGTTCTTCATGAGCAAATGCAGAGATATGGGAATCCTCTGTAATTTCTAAGCTCTTTAGTTTTACAGGCAATGGGCTTATATAAATGAGGAAGCATCCTAATACAGATTAAAATGTTTGCCTACTCCTTGGTAAACTAGAAAAAGGTGGAATAGACAACATTACCACCAAATGGATCTCTAGCTGGCTGGCAAACCATACTCAACAAGTAGACCTCAATAGCACTACATCCACATGGAGAGAAGTAAGCAGTGGGGTAACACAAGGTTCCATCTTAGGCCCAGTACTCTTCAATATCCATAAATGACTTAGATGAGGGATTTGAAGGGGAACTCATCAGATTTGCAATGACACTAAACTGGCAGGAGTAGCCAACAGCCCAGAAGACAAATTCAGGATCCAAAAAGATCTAGACAAACTTGAACAATGGGCCCTATCCAACAAAATGAGTTTCAATGTGAAGAAGAGCAAAGTTTTACTTTTAAACAGGAAAAATCAAAGGTACAAGTACAGATTGGGCAAGACCTGGCTTAAAAACAGTAACTGTGAGAGGGACCTTGGAGTCCTAGCAAACAATCACTTGACTGTGAGTCAGCAGTGTGCAGCAGCAACCAAAAAAGTAATACAATCCTGGATTGTATAAAGAGATGTATAGAATCAAGATCACGTGAAGTATTAGTACTGTTTTATAAAACCTAGTAAGATCACACCTGGAGCACTGCAGCCAATTTTGGTCACCATATCACCAAAAATATGTTGAGAGTTTGGAAAAAATTCAGAGAAGAGCAATTAAGATGATCAAAGGCCTAGAGACTAAAACATACGAAGAACAGCTGTAGGACTTGGGTTTGGCTAGTCTAAAGAAAAGAAGAAATAGAGGAGACATGATAGCAGTATTCCAGTCTCTGAGGGGCTGTCACAAGGAAGAGGGGGTCACTTTGTTCACCAGAGCACCAGAGAGAAGGAAACTGATCAAAGAGAGAAGAAACCTAGAATTAAGGAGAAACTTCCTGACAGTGAGGACAATCAACTAGTGGAACAGCTTTAACTTGGAAATCATAGGGGCTCCATCACTGGAGATTTTTAAGAAGAGGCTGGACAATCACCTGTTTGAGATGGTATGGGTTCTCCTGCTTGAGCAGGGGGCTGGACTAGAAGACCTCCAAGGTCCCTTACAGCTCTATTCTATTCTTCCAACTCTGTTATTCTATTAAAATAATTACAGGGAGTAACAAGAAGTCTATTATTATGAGTTCTTACTTATTAATTTTGAATTAAATGAATAAAAACAGTGCTGTGAAGCATCATAATATCAAACCTAAATGTATTTAATAAAAAAAATACTGTAATCAAGTTTCTTTTTTTCAAGAAGCAAGATTGATTGATGCTACAGTGAGGCAGCAATAGTAACAGTTGAGGACTTACTGAAGATGGGATGTTGTGCCAAGAGCAGCTGGAAGCAGAGAAATCATTGATTCTGTGAAAATCAGAGGTGCCTCTCCCTAGCGTCTAGGACCTTTAAACTCCCACCATTGGCTGTGCCCACTTCGCCTCCAGCCATCCACCTCAGCCCATTCACAGCCAGCTTTCCTTCTCTGCTGGCCCTCCCCCTGCCATTCTTTCTTGGCAATGGGCCCCTGGCCCTTTGCCCCTTGTCCTTTGGCTTGGCCCATTCATCCAGACACCATTTGTCCCAAGTGTTAGTTCCACAGGACAAGAAGCTGCCAGCCAATTGGGTGGCAGGTGGCAATGATGGTGCTGGGAAGGGAGAACAAGGGGGCTATGAAGGGGATGTGATTGATGACAGGTTACAGGACAGAATAAAATCTGGGAAGATGGCAGGCAAAGGCTTGTGGCTTGGCTGCTGGAGATGCCTGGGGATGGTGGTAGGCAAACACTGCTTGCACACTACTGCTGGAGATGCCTGAGGGGGCAGTAGGGCATCGGTGGTAAGCAGGAGGGCTAGGCAGTTGGCTGGGGATCAGTGGTAAGAGCTGCTGATGGGAGTACCTGGAAGGGCAGCAGGACATCTATGGTAAGCATAGTTGCTGAGGATGCCTGGGGGGAGTCAAACGGTGGTGATGTGTGGTGGT